CCCCCCTCCCCCATCACCAAGTAAACACAGATCTCTGTGGAGATTTCCTTTAGTTTGGTGACCATAATTATCTGATGTGTTGGAGAAAGGCAAAGAGTTGCTAAAATATGACCAGCTTTACATATTTTTGGCCCATTTCTGTCCAAAAACCAATGTGTAAGTAACATGTTTTTAGTGTATTCAAGTCCACACCCCTTCAAACTGTACCACACCTGAGCACATTTGCCTTGGAGTTCGATGCTACTTCTTGGGGTCCCCAAGCTGCTCTGGAAAGTCTTAGCAGAGATGCTCTTGTCTTTGTATGTCAGCTTCCTTGAATCCGGAGCTGTAATTCAGTCAGAGGCGTTTGTGTTCTTTATAAATAGATTAGCGTCATCATTCAGATAATTAGGGGGAGATTTACATTTTTAAAAAGTCTTAAACCAATTTCTGGAGTTATTAAAACTGGCATCCTAATTTGTTCTGCTAATTACAGCTTTTCTTTTGGCCTGCCTGACGTGCTCTATGTAGCTATTTTATATATTTTTAATAGTTGGGGAAAGTGCTGTGGTGAGTAAGTCCTGCAGCCAGGTATAAGCTAGGCCTGTTATTTTGAGGCTTGGACCCAGTTTTTTTTTTTTTTTTTTTTGGCAGGGGATGGGGATTTATTTATTTTTACTTGTGTGTGACTGTTTTGCCTGCATGTATGTAAGTGCATCTCTTCATGCACTGCCAGAAGAGACCAGAAGAGGGCATCAGATCCCCTGGGGCTGGTGTTAGGAACAGTTGTTAGTTTCCATGTGGATACTGGGAACTGAACCCCAGCCTCTACTACAAGAGCTGCCAGTGCTCCTAACTACTGAGCCATCTCTCCAGCCTCTATACCACTTTTTAACTTAGCCAAATCTTTGTTTGTTCTGTGGGAGAAAAGTGGAAAAAAACTACAAAACTCATTTAGCTCCTGTCAGAATGTCCTAATCAAGGGGACATTTTTTGCTGAGAAGCAAGCTCATATCAGTGAGGCACCATTTGTAACTCTCGAGTATCTACCTCCATCATTCCCTCTTTAGTGTGACTTCGTAGAACTCGAGGAAATAGAATTTTACCTTCTACCTAAAAGTTGTGTGCTTTGTTTCCCCCAGGCAGCTGGGACTTGTGTCTCTGCAACAAGCAGGGAGGAACCAGTCTGCTGCGTGTCTGTCCTTTATCCTCAGACCCTCTAATCTCCCCTCTCCTGACATTTCTTTTGGTAGTGGGTGATTTAAATCTGCCCTCTGATGATGAGGCAGAGTTGGTAACTCTTGGGTTTTTTGTCAGTTACTTTGAAGAATAGTATTTAATTCCCAGGTCCGACTGTGTCCCTTGGTCCTTTTCTCTGTAGCTGCTTCATCTCAGTGTCTGCATTCTTGGCAACCTTTGAGGAGGGCTTTCATTTCAGGCAGAACAAGTGAGGCGACTCTAGTCGGTGTCTGGTTCTAGTTTCTGCATCATCCCCTGCAGAACCTCCTGAGAATTTTGGTCTGATTTATTGGACACCCCACCCCCAACCCCCTTCTTTCCTTGTCATTTGACCCTAAGGGTCCCTTCCTTCCAACTGAAGTGGAAACATTCTTCAATTTAGCCTTTGTCCAGGAAACTGCCCCCCTCTCTCCTTTTAAGTGGGGGTGAGTAGAAGGGCGAGTGCAGGGGTGCCAGAGCCGGGGAGGCGTTTGAGCCACAATGGGAGCCCCATTCACTAGGAGAGCGCCCAGTCATGCTGAGTGATTTGCCTTCATTAACTGAAGGGCTCCCGCTGCACTCTTTGAAGAAAGGTTATCCTTGTTCTTGTTTGCACAGATGATCTGAATGATGGGTAGTCAGGTGCTGACCATAGAGGGTGCATTGTCTGGCGGTCATTGAGAAACCCTTGAGCTCTTGTCCAGCAGTTTTTTTTCTCTATATCACTCTGGTGACTATTGTCTTGGGGAGTTGTAGCCTATAAGGCCTCAGCATTTGAGAATAACTGCTAGAGTTTTTTAAGCATCTTGAAACAGCTGGACACTGACAGTGTTTGTGGCTACATAGATTTCTCTTTCCCGCTGAAGTTGTAAACTGGAAAGCTACTTTTTAAATTGTTACCACCACATTATTTGATTTTTAATGTTTTAGTTATTTGATTGATCACTTTATGTGAGCGCTGGGCATATGTCAATCACTAGAGCCTAACTGACAGTTAGAACCACAAAGAACACAGAGACCTTGTCCTCCTCAGGCTCACATTCATGCAGGAGAGATGGCAGGGAGAAAGTAAGCAATTAACTCAACACAGTATGTGCAGACAGAGATGGGTCCTCTGAAGGCAGGGCTAAGTCACTGTAGCAGTCAGCCCTAAGTGTCCTCAAGACCCCCTTGGATACCAAGATCTGGGGATGTCAAGTGCCTTTCCATATAACCTGTGCAATCTTCATGTAACGTACGCTTATCTTCCCACGCAATTTAAGTCACATCTAGATTGCTTCTGCTGTTTAATGCAATGCAAATAATTATACAATATTGTTATGTAAATAATTATACAATATTGTTTATTGAATAATGAAGAAAATATTTGTACATGCACACACACACACACACACACACACACACACACACACGCGCGCACGCGCAGTCTTCTTCGGGAAGGGTTTCCCTGTTTGTAAATAGACTGAGATCAAACAGGTGAGTTTGTTTCATTAGAATTTTAACACCATTTCCTTAGTGTTTCTATAGCTGTCTGAACATATGTGCATCTACATGTTCTGATTTAATGCTTTGTTTCCCATCAACTTAGACAGAAGAAGAAACAGAGCCCTAAACATTTCACATATTTTATGATGCCTTTTGTTTTGTCTGTTTTGTTTCCCCCAAATACCTCAAAAATAATTATAGATTAAGATCCTTCTCATAAAAATTCCCATGGGAGTCTTGGCTCCCACATCTCTAGGCCCTGATCTATGTTTCTTAAGTACTGAGCTGAGAAAATTTGAGATCTCTCAGCTTCCTCATGGGAGTCCCAAACCATCTCCCTAATACCCTGGCACAGAAGCTGTTTTGGCTCCTGTTCTTATTGTGGGGGGGGTGGGGAAGGGGGCAGTTCTTGCCCATCCACTGGGTTTCCGCTGAGTTTCTGCTGTCAGTACTGAAGACCCAGGGGGAAATACCTTGTGGCCCACATGCTGAGGTTTGGGAGGCCCCTGTGTTACTCAACACCTTTTCATCCCTGAGGCTGCTGCCATTTGGCATGTGTGACACTGGGAGTTGCCTGCCATGGGAATCTATGACAAGTAGGTTCCAAGATATTCATCTCCAGCAACAAAGAGGGTGGGGAGTTTCATTTCAGGTTTGACTCGCCAGGCCTCCACCACTCCCTGGTTTTGAAAGGAGATCCCGTGGGTGGTCTATTGAGAGACCTCCTGGCAGAAGATCCAGGGACTTTGCCCACAACCTGTAGGATAGAGTTCACGCCTGAATGCTCTGTCAGGGAAGACTTTCTGGAGTCCTCAGAGAGCCACACATGGGGTAGTCTCCTGAAATGTTTCTCTGGTGGGCTGGTACCTTGCAGATTACCTCAAAAGTGTATAGCTTAAAAACATACATGTGTTATTTCCTCTTCACCTAAACATAGAATCTGTAAGCTGTGGAGGTTTGGTAAGGCAGCTCCACCTCCTTCTGGAGCACACGTCCCTTTCCTTGTTCTTCCGTCTTGAAAAAGACCTCCCTGGCAAAAGCCTTAAACAGGGATGCAGTCCTTCCCATCACTGGGGATGAGCTGGGCAGAGGGACCAGAGAGCCCCCTCCTTTGAAGACAGTTCCTAGAAGCTGTCTGTTAACTAGAACCTAGTCATGAGCTTGTACCTTGCTGCAAGGAAAAGAAGCCAGCCTTGACTTCCTGGCCAAGTGCCCAGTTACATTAGGGGTTTTCTAGTGGGGACTATGGATATTGGGGAACAAATTACTTGCCTAATGAAGAGCATGGTTTCATATATAATCTATGAAGAGCTCATACTAGATAAAGGAGATTGGCAATTTTAGATTGAATGTGGAATCCTAGGAACCAAAATCTGCTGTTTTCCACTATTTTTACTGACCCCCAGTGCCATTTTTAGTTAAAACGCAGGAATAGCTCTGTAGCATTTAGAGAGAATCTCAAGAAAGTGACTGAGTGAGCTTCATGTGTAGGTCTAGCCCATAACCGTGTCGATGCAAAAGTGTAGCTCTCATCTCAAAGGGGATAAGAGATAGTTTATTGTGGAGCCAAATATGAGTGACTATGGCCCAGGAATACAGATTCAGGTTACCTCAAATTCCATATTCCAATGTGGTAGCAATTTCATGAAGTATTTATAGTAATGGAACAAAGAAACTCATAAATCAAGGAACTTTTCAAACATGTTGCTGGAAACATTAAGTAAGTGGTTACAACAAAATACAAATCCCAGTTACAGGCCTCAGATAGTTTTTGATGGAAGTTAGTTTTTCTTTTTTTAAATTAATTCGTCTCAAAATGTTTTTATCTATTAGTTACAGGATGTTAGGCCAGACATAGAGGGGGGCAAGGTATGGCTATTTAGGCAGCTAAAAAATAGCCTAAGATAAATTATTATTAGGTTATGGACCTGCAGCATTCTAAACTCCTCAATCGTTGTTCTAATCAGTTGATTGACTTGAAGAAGGTTCAGTATGAAGATGTGTGTTTTGCGGGGGAAACTTTTGTTCACAACTGGAAGGACATTCAATGCTTGGAAGTGTGACATACACATTTTACTCATGTATTTTATTGATGGCTTCCTACAGGAGTTTCTGGTTCATTTTGAATCTCTGAAGGGTCTCTAAAGTCTCAGTATGTGGGAGTCACGGATGAATGCTTTGGGAGTTGGGGTTAGTAGCTGGCATCACAGGGGAGGGTTTTCTGAAGGGTGGGACTGAGTGGACACCCCTGGGACAGCTGTCAGTCCTGACCGATCTCTCGTGCTGCTGCCTGTCTTACCACTCTCAGGTGGCAGCCCGTACTGGTGAAACTGGAGTGAGAAGACGTACTCAGGCCATGTCTAGGTCCGCGAGCAAGCGAAGGAGCCGGTTTTCTTCTCTCTGGGGTCTGGACACTACCTCCAAAAAGAAGCAGGGACGCCCAAGCATCAACCAGGTAGGTTCTAGAGTAGACACAAAGGACCTATTGGGATTGCTAACGTGCCACCCAATTTGGGAACGTATGTCTGTGTGTCCGTGTGTTCTTTTCACTTACTTAGAATAAACTCCACATGAAGGTAATTGTGCTAGACACTTTAAAAACTTTTTTTTTATGTATATGTTTGCAAGTTCACTACTTGCATGCAGTGCCCACAGAGGTCCGAAGACGGCATCAGATTCTCCTGGAACTGGAATTATGGATGGTTGGTAGCCGTCATGTGGGTGCTGGGAATCGAACCCTGGTCCTCTGAAAGAGCAGCCAGTACTCTTAACCACTGAGCCATCTCTCCAGCACATTTCATAGATAACACCCAAAACGTTGAAGTCTGCTATTTGTCTACCACCACCCTCCATCTCCCACCTGCACCTTTCCCAAATTCTGGCTAATTACATACCTGCTAACAGTACACAATTCATCCTGAGTCCTCAGAAGAGAGAAGGCTCCAGGAGCAAGCCAAGTAGGCATTAGGCACAGAGTGTCTTAAGCTGCCTTTGGTGCTGAATCAAAGCCAGCCTCCAGGGAAATCTGATTGTTTCTCTGTACTCGACTTTTGGACAGTAGCTGTAGATGGACAGTTCCTCTACCTGTGGGAATGAGGAGTAGGAATGTGAGAGCAAGCAACATGGCTACCCTGCTCAGGTCCAGAGCTGGCAGAGGCTCTCCTGAGTACCAGGTCATAGACTGGTGCTGGGTAGGGCCCTGAGGAACCATGCACTGTGGCCCTGTTCTTTCTTACTAACTAAGGCCACTTGCTGGAGTTATTCTGGAACAATTATTCTCCATTGTTGTCATCCATCTCCTTTGTCTTTAAGAAATGTTTAGCCCCTGAACTGCTTGTTTAGATTTCAGAGGCTAAACAGCATGAATGTTTACAGTCTTTTTGCAACAAGCAGAGTGTCCAGTTCATGGGTTAACCTGGCTGGACAGTCAAGAGGTCATGCAGATGGCCAGTGTGACCTAAGCAAAGTTGGAAGCCATCAACTGACTTGACTGTAGGATTCCCTCCCTGTTTGCTCTGGGAATTCCAGCCATTAGCTTCCATAGGAAATGAAGTTTTAAAAGACATTAGTCTTGAAAGCTGCTGTCCAGGGTCACCTAGCTGACCAACACACTCACCTTTGAAACATGGCATTTTTTTATCTTGATGAAACCTACAGCAGACTAGATAAACACATGATGAAAGTGTGGGACTGACAAACTGCATTCATCCTCTAAACTAGGGGAGGGTATAGAGTTTGTATTACGGGTTTTACTCTTCTGTAAATCTGAAGGAACTGGGGAATATCCAGTGATTCCTTCACTTAAAAGACTTGAAGGTTCTCCGTTCAGCCTGCAGGAGGATGTCGTTAACATCAGCATTTCTCCCCCTCCTTCTGGAGAGGGTGGTATCATTCTGTATGCATCCTCTGTCATTACTGATGACTCAGGACACCCCCATAAATATAGGTCGGGACTTTGCCATTTGGATGTGTGTTCTCTCAAAACTGAGTTCATGTGCTTCCGTCTTTTTGGCAGCACGTTATTTTATCACCTATTCTCCTGGAGTGTACGTCGGAATTTAAGCGAGTCCAAGAGAACATATTCACATTTGATTTTAAATGAAAGAATAATGTAGTGTATTACAAATCACTCTTGTATTTCTTAAAGTTTTTTTTTTTAATCTTGCTGAGCCCCATAAGCATTGGGATAGAAGTTTTCTCATTAATTCAATACTTTAAAAATGGTGTCTTTCTGTATACTCCTTCCGTTGGATGAAATCTTTTTCTTTGTATCTACAGCATCCTGGTGGCATATGTTCCTTTTATAGCCAGTATATAAAATTCTTTGTGTCTGTGTGTTAAGGATTAAGATAGCCATTGTATCTTTAAGTTAGCAGGATTTATTGAATTTCAAAGAACAGATGATTTTCTGTAACTTTGCTGCCCTGTTATGCAAAATACAAAAGCTATAAATATCTCCTCCAATTCTACTCACAGATATAGTTTTAAAAGGCAGTTTGATGACTATTTATAAATACCTGTTGAGGTCTCTGAGGTTAAATTCTCACTGTAAATGAATCTAGTTTATTACTTTTCCACTTTTCTTTCAACATAGATGCATTATTCAGATCTGAAAACGAACAATTTCTTTGTTTCTGAACTGTTAAGAGGTGTGAGAAGTCATCAATTTATTGGGACTTGAATTTTATGGTTTGCTACTGTGAATTGTTATGTGCTTTGAGATCCAATCACGAGTGCCTGAAAGCTACATGATAGTTCCTCATCGCCGTGTCCATTTTCCAGCCCCCTTCCCATGCTTCATTTGCCTGTTGCCCAAATTTCTTTTTTTAAGACAATACTTTTGTATATGCAGGTGTTTGGAGAGGGAACTGATGCTGTGAAGAAGTCTTTAGAGGGAATATTTGATGACATTGTTCCAGATGGCAAGGTAAAAATAAATATGTGTTCCTTTTCTGGAAGCACGAATCCATTAGCATATGCACAATGCTTTGGTTTGGAGGGATACTAAAATTAAGTATGCTCAATATGAAAAACTGAAATTATCAGGTTTTTAAAGAAGTTATGTAACAGGTCAACAATGCGAGATGGAAAATCATTTTCTGTTTAAAGCCTGGTGCTAATAAGAGCGTTCCTCGGCTGACATGACCTTTTCCATACTTACCAGTTGATGGGTACGTTTTCCAACTAGAATATAAGAGAAATTTGAGTTCTGAGTGAGCTGAATGTTTTATGTCATTGCTAATTCCTTTTGAAGTACAACTTATATTCCCAAGAGGTGAGTTCTTATTGCCCTCGCTCTGCCCACACATGCTATTTTCCTCGCATTAATTTCAAAGACCTGTTCTCTAGTATGTTCTTTTCTGAAAAATGCATTTGCCTCCCAAGTAAAATCCTCACTTTGAGATTCACAGACATGTTTCGGCCTTGAGTTTAGTGTTAATAGGGACTTTCAAACTGCTCTGATTGAAACCCATAAGATAATTTTTTTTTCTCCTCCTGGCCATTTTTGTAGCCTCTCTAAATAAAAGGACATCCCTCCTTTTCAGGACCCTAATGCCTCTTTTCTTTGGGGTTCTACTGTTGATAACACGACTCACATCCTCAGGATCAATATGGCAGAATTCAGCTACTGGTTGCTATGCAACCAAATAATATTAGTCAGCAGTGGCTGAGCCCAGTGTTCTAGAAGGATCTGGTCTTTAGAAAACAGTGCAGTGGGGAGTTCTTGGCATTGGAGGAAAGGAGAGAAGAGTGGCCAGGAAGATCCTTTCTTTTTAAACTTCCTGCACTTACCATCCTGGGGATGGAGGTGGCTAGCCTAGGAAATACTCCCCTTGGCATGCCCTTTGAGCAGTTGTCTATGATGAGATTAAATTGCCATACCTATAAGCACTCCAAGCACAGTCTTTAGTGCTACTTTGTCATATCTGAAGTTGACCCATTCATCTTGCATCCATCATACATTTTTAACGATGTACAGTCCTCTCCACACAGAATGCAGGAATGGCAAACATTTTGATTCCCTTGTACTTTTTGATGTTTTGTTTTGCTTTTTTGACCCATTCCTAACATTTAGCCTCATTCTCGGAGAGCAGTTTAGATGCAAAGCGAGGGTTGATCTGATGCTAAGGGGCACTTATTTAATGTGGCAACAGTGTCAGAAGATTCCAATTATAGTTAATGGGATGAAGGCAAGTTGATTGCTTTTTGTCAGTTCTTTCCCTGGAGCCCAACTTATCTGCGAAAGTAACAGTGTTCAAAGGCAGGGCTCAAACTGTCTTCAACACTGGGGTTATCCTACTGGCCTTTACTGAACAATACATTTCCCCATTCTTGAACCCTATTCTTTCTGTGTATGGAACTTGTTCTTTTACCGCTTTCCAGCCTTTATTGAGAAATTTGTTTGTTCTTGTAAGTTGCTAGTGTTAGCCTTGTTCTTGGTAATCTGTAGATCCAAATTCACCAACTGGTTATACAGCCTTCATGAAGGCATAGTACCTGAGCATCAGGTATTAGGTTTATATTGTTGAGTGTCAAGTATTACGTTTACATTGCAGTAATCTAACACAGCTCCAGCCTTGCTTATTTGACTGGGTTCCTAACATTTCGTCCATTCGTGGGGTGTTTTCTGCTTTAGCTGCTTTGCTTGCTGAGGTTCGTCCCTGAGTTTGTATAGGTACTTTTCCCCCATTAGCAAATGAACTACTCCTCCATCCTTAGAGTGACTGAGAGGGCATAGTGATAACAGCGGCCTAAGGAGGCTTGCTTTGAGACTCATCTTTGTCTGGGAGATGGAGCTCTTCCTCCCCCAGAGTTGTCCTAGTGGTCCAAGAAGAGCACAAAATGATGGTGCCCGTCTATTTGTGATGCTAGAACATTATCTTTATGAACACAGTTTCCCATGGGGCCTCATTGCTGCTGTGTAGTATCAATTTTACATGGCAGATACTCTTGCTGATGGAATTCTCTGCTCAAAACTTAAAATGTGTTTGTGGAAGAGGTAGCAACCAAACTGAGCCAAATGAATAAACTATTTCTTGCTTTCTTCCAAATTGTGGTGCCCACTTACTCATGCCCTGCTCACCTGTGGGTCATGGGCTAGGTAAGAAGTCCATGTCAAAGTCAGAAGGCTGCCTGTGCCCGACAAAGATTCTTTCTCAGCACCTCCCCTCTCCCAGGGCTCCCTTCCACCACCCTCATTCCTGCCGTAGGCTATTTTCCTCAGCCCAGATAATCGAATATCTGGGGTTTGAAGTTGTTAGGGGTGTACTGTGCTATGCTACTAACCATACTTCTTACCACAGAGGGAGAAGGAAGTGGTCTTGCCTAGCGTCCACCAGCACAATCCTGACTGCGACATCTGGGTCCATGAGTATTTCAGTCCATCCTGGTTCTGTCTGCCCAATAATCAGCCAGCTCTGACGGTTGTCCGACCTGGGGACACTGCGCGGGACACCTTGGAGCTCATTTGCAAGGTATGTGTTTTTGAGAAGTGCGGAATGGGGTGGAGGAATCTTCAGAGGTACCCATGGATACTCAGTCTGATGGAGAAGGTGCTACACCTGTGTTTCGGAGCCCTGTATTCCTTTGCAGTGGTGTCCACAGTGATGTGAGTGGTGTCGTAATCTTCTAAGTATTTCGTCTCTGTGTGCAAATGCGATAGATTTGTAGTGAATATAGTATCTGCTTAGAAAATCCAAGAGTAAGACCAAACGTTGTTCCCATGTTATATAGGACTTTACAATGCAAAACTAACCACCGTGAGCATCTTGGTGCTTACACTTCTGTTTTAGTCTTTCTGCACACATACATATATTTATTGGTGTCTTATGGGGGATGCTTTTACAGCCTTCTGTTCGATCAGTAGTTGCAATACCTCTGCATCTTTAAATTAGGGAAAATTGAAAGTGAATATAAGTTTGATGTCCACAATGGGAAATTCCTCTGTGAACACAGAACCAGCCTGTATTTTTCACTAAAACGGTGATTGAATTAATTCTACTTTCACCTTATGATGAGGAAATATCTTGATCTTTTTCAAGGGGAACATGAGACTTTTCCTCTTTAAGAGCAGACAGATGAGGGGCTGGAGAGATGGCTCAGTGGTTAAGAACACTGATTGCTCTTGCAGAGGATCCAGGTTCAATTCCCAGCACCCATATGGTGGCTATGAACCATCCTTAACTCCAGTTCCAGGGGAATCAGAAGCCCTCTTCTGACCTCCGCGACATTGCACGATGTGGGTGCACTCACATACATGCAGGCAATACACTCATACACATAAAATAAAAATAATAAATAAAAAATATTTAGGGGAAAAAAAAGAGCAGACAGATGATGGACCTTGAGTGATGACAGAAAAAGAAGGAAGACGGGAACTTTTCTTGCATGCCTGTTTTTATTTTTACATGAGTTGTAACATCAATGGTCTTAGTCAGTGGTCACATCAAATCTGAGAAGAAACTGTTGCATCTCTGTCTTACAGATAGAGAAAACGAGGCTCAGAAAGCTTTGGATACTTTCCTGAGTTGATTCATAGCCAAAAGGGGGAGGAAAATGAGAAAATGAGCAGAGGAAAGAAAGACTGACCCTAAGTCTGGTTCCTCCCAACTTGGGTGTGTCCCATTGTGACAGGTGCACAGTCTAAGGGACTCTTAGACCTCAACCTGTCTTTAGGAGGGACCATAAGTCTTGGAAGAACCTACAATATATTGTTGAGGTCCAGGCAGGCCACAGCTACAGGGAAACGCTGTCTCAAAAAGAACAATAAATAAATAAATAAAGCAGGGAGACCCTGTCTTAAAAAGAAAATAAATAAAATAAATAAAAATAATAAATAAAAAACCTCATTAGAGTCTTTAAAAAATATATGGCTTTTCATATAAGTGGTGGGAAGTAGAATAATCCAGCTCAAATAAGATTTTTAACTAGTCTCATGTGGAGAAGTGGAGATCGAACACTTGTTTCAGGACAAAGCTAACATCAGCCCCCACATAGATGTTAAAAATAAATGATACCACCTCACTCTGCTTCGTTCATGTACATGAGTTCTCACTTTTGAACATAATGGCATCTCTGTTCATACTTTTTCATTTTAATTACTTACCAAAAATCAGTCTGTTGAGGATTTCTGCATTCTTTTATTTATAGATAGCACAATTCTTTAGAGAACCACTGTTAGTATTTTGCGGAGCTGTGGGAGTTCTCAGATCTGCAATTGGAGCTGTTGAAGTTGGAGCTCTGGCTTTTTTGCGTAAGCGAGATTCTGGAAGGTGTTTCCAGGGAATTGCATGGTCTTAGAGTATCTACCAAAATAAAAAAATTAAGCCACAGTTATGTGGTCACTTGTGTTTGGGTGAGAAATTGATGTGCTTGGCCCAGTTTTAGGTACAATTTAAGTTTTTGGCTTTTATAGAAACTAATGGAATGAAAGGTAATAGTGTCTCTGCCACTTAGAGACCATCTTTAAATGATGCTGTAGACCCATGCCCCTGTGAATGTTGATTTCTGTCACTTGCTGGGTTTCGGAGTACACCCTTAAGGTGCCCTCTCTGTTGCAATAAAAGGTCATCCTGTTGAGAGCTCTCTGATTGTCACTTCTTTCCCTGCAGACAAAAATAAGAATAACGTGGTATGGGACAAGCATACATCTCATGAGTGGAAATGGCAAACTACTGTGGTTACTTTAAGACACTGATGGTCTCCGGAGGAGCATCTATGTAGCATGAATTATATAGTGTGCTCAGAGCCAGGTGTCTCCCAAGACTTTATTGTAATTAGTGGAGCAATTTTATTCTAAGGGGTGGAAGAGATAATGGAGGAAACAGTGCCATGTGTTATTAATGACCTAATGTAACGCTGAGGGGGTTCTTTTGTTTGGGGAGGAGGGATGGAAAACAAAGATGGAAGAGTGTGTGTCTTTTCTTTACTGTTGTGCTCAGCGTTGGTGATGGATGCCTTTCCTGATGCCTAATAATCAATCTCTTTCTCCTGTCTCTTGCATTCAGCTCATTTTCTTTCCTATTCTCTCTGACCCACATCATTTCACCTCAGTTTGCCATCTGCCATCTGATCACCAGTCAAGTTCTGGTATAGTAAATATTTCAAGATATGTTTCATGTTATTGATGTTACTAAAGTAATTGTTACTAGTTATAGCTGATAACCACGTGTATAGGTTTAAAATATTCAGATTATTGCAATTATTAAAAAATTGCAATAATGATTCGTTCTTTTATATTCGCTCATTATTATTGTGTGACCATGTGTCAACCTTATTACATGTTTTCACTATGTGTGTATATATGTATATGTGTGTATGTGTTGGGGGCAGAGAACAACTATGGATATCATCCACAGAAACAAAGTTCACCTCTTTTGTGATGGGTGTCTGTCATTGGGCTGGAGTACAACAAGTAGGCTAGATAGGCTGGCCAGTGACCCTCAGGAATCCTCCTGCCTCCCCTCCCAAGCTCTCCCCTGCTTCCCCTCCCAAGCGCTGGGATTTACAGTCACATGCCACCATGCCCACCATTTTTACATGTTTTGGAGCTCAGGTCCTCAACCTTGCAAGGCAAGCACTGTCCTAGCTGAACTATCTCCTTAGTCCAATTCTTATGAATTATAGTGGTTTAAACTATTTAAAAATCTACAATGGAGGCTGGAGAGATGGCCCGGTACTTAAGAGCACTGGCTGCTCTTGCAGAGGACTAGGGTTTGCTTCCTAGTACCCACATAGTGGCTAACAACCATCTGTAACTCCAGTCAGGAGAATCCAATGTCCTCTCTGACCTCCGCGGGTATTTCATGACATGAGTGCACTTACACACATGCAGGCAATACACGCATACACATAAAATAAAAATAAATATATATACATATGTGCATGCGTGTATTGCCTGCATGTAGGTAAGTGCACCCATGTCGTGCACTGCCCGTAGAGGTCAGAAGAGGCTGTTGGATCCCCTGGGACTGGAGCCACGGACAGCTGTTAGCTGCTATGTGGGTGCTGGGATATTTTAAAAATTACGCAAACCAGGCCAGGTGTGGTGGCACACAGCTTTAATTCCAGCACTTGGGAGGCAGAGGCAGGTGGATGTCTGAGGTTGAGGCTGGTCTGGTTTACATAGTAAGTTCCAGAGAGCTACAAGGACTCCCTCCCTCCCCCTCCCTCCCTCCTTCCATCCAGCTACACACACACGTCTTTTTGAGACAGGGTCTCCTTGTAGCCCCAGCTGTCCTGGAACTCAAGTAAAGCAGGCTGGCCTTGAACTCACAGCGATCCGCCTGCCTCGCCTCCTGAGTGCTTCTTCTAACTGAATTCCTCTTGCTAGGAAAATTTCTCTTGAATGTTTTAGAAAGCCAAAATATGTCACATACTTAAAATCACTCCTAAAATATTCTCTAATGTTTGGACTCCTTTCTGCATGAACATGTATTGTGAACATGGCTGACTGTTGAACCCGCTTTGATAATGAGGAGCATGGCATTATTTATGAGAGCCTGATGATCTGATTTAATTAGCACATTGGGATTGCCCTTTATCTTAGACTAGCCAGGCTATAAGAGTTCATAATTCAGAAACTTTGACCAGAATGGAGAATCCAGTGGCATGCTAACCCTCTGTGTTCCATTTTTTTTTTATAAATTTTTTTTTTTTTTTTTTTGGTCTTTTTGAGACAGGGTCTCCCTGTAGTCCCAGCTGTCCTGGAACTCACTATGTAGACCAGGCTGGCCTTGAACTCACAGAGATCCGCCTGCCTGTGCCTCCCGAGTGCTGGGATTAAAGGCAGGTGCTACCATGCCCGGCTTTGTGTCCCATTTTTAGAATAACTATTTACTGACCAAAAAGGTCTGTTCGGTTTTGAGTTAAATCTATACAAATATTTGGGTTCCTTGAGCCCAGGCTGGCCTAAAACTTTCAGGGATTATAGGATGTGCCGTCACTCCTAGTGTATTGTTGTTTTTACCATTGTTAAATGTATTCCCTTGTACTGTTTAAAGTTATCAAGACATTGCATAATTTAAAGAAGTTCAAAAATATGTGCAGCCAGAACCATGTCCTCTGTACTGCGCCACATCCCAACTGTTCCACTGTTCTCCTTCTTCATGCAATTAAAAATGTAAGCATTGCACTGTTTGGAGGTGATGTGGATCCCCATTTTGGACCCCGACCACACAAAGCTCCCCTGTGTCCGACAGCAGACTGGCACACTCCCACACGAGGTCTCTTACCAGAATCCCCTGGTGAGGTTAGCACTAGGGTCTCATTTCCAGAAGGTGGTCTTGTAAGTGGCAGTCTAATTAGGATTATCCACAAAGTGTTTATTAATGAAGACAGGAAGATTTCCAAACTGCTGTGTTTCTGTTACTAAGACCTCATGAAATCCCGTTCTCTTTGGCTTCCATCTCAGTAGGGAACAGATGGCAAAACAAAAGTTTTAGTTGTAATGAAATATTTTGTGAGGACCTGGGTAGGTGAGAAGCATTTGCAACACTTCCCTCCTCCAACCCCCCCCCAAACACACAGAGAGGAAAACTTTTTATCCTGTCACCTTTTTATTTTCTTTTTGTTTGTTTCTGACAAGCACCCCTTAAGACTTCCCTTTTGTAAGTTTCCCTGGACTCACATGTCCCCCTCATTATCTGATATCAATAGTCGTGGGCTGTCCTGGGCATCCTGTCTCTCACACAGAGAAAGGAAAGCCAGGTGCTCAGTAATGTGTTCAACACAGTGTCCTTCAGACTTCACATTCCTTGGGAAATAGAAGACACACCAGGGTTTCCCAAGAACCAGTGATTAAAAAACCTGATTAATTTGCTGGTTGTTCAGAGGGAACCGATTTCCACTGTTTGGAAATGTGCTTTTGTGGTAATGCAGGATATTTGTCATACATAAATGTGTTTATTTAAATAGCTAACCCACTCCTCTGGGCTCTCTGGAGGATTGCAATGATTATACCAGTATCTGTATTTGTATTGTCCATGCCTGGCACACTTTTGACTGTGTTAGGTGTGACTGAGGGCATATTGTTTAGAATAATATCTAATAAGCTTGGTCTCTATTTATACCTATATTGACAGTATAGGGTAAGAAGAATACTGAACCAGTTAAAATTAATTCCATTGATGATGAAACAATTTTCATGACTAAGGCATTGAGAGACTTTATTTACTTTGTGTAAAATTTAAATTTTCATTTAAAAATTTCGAGAAATTTCAAATTCATGTACTTGGGAGGCAGAGGCCGGTGGATCTTTGTGAGTTCAAGGCCAGCCTGGTCTACATAGTAAGTTCCAGGACAGCTGGGGCTACAGGGAGACCCTGTCTCAAAAA